TTTTTGTTAATCCCTAGTACATGGCCTGCTGTAAACTCCCAGGACACCCAGGACAGGGTCCTTGCTGTTTGGTTTTCCTTATCCACAGTCTCAAGGGGAAGCCAGCCCAATGAGAACAGCCTTTTGCTGTCAGGCTGTCCCTTTAAGAGTCACTGAAAGGGCCCCAGGGTGGGATGGTGGGAGATAAGCACCGTAAGAGGAGCTGGCACAGAGGAGTTATGGAACAAAGGGTCCGAGAGGCAGAACAGGAAGTGCTGCCAGCTGATGGGGAGGAAAGGAAGTCAGAGGCTTGGACACTGAGGGGACAGAACATCTCCATGTGCACTCTCATCTCTTGTAGTCAGCAGCAGGTGGTCCCAAGGAGGGCCCTGCGCCATGTGCCACCAGGAAAGATCCAGAGGTAAGAGGCCCTGAGATGAGGTACAGTGACCCTGCAGGCCAGCCCTCCACCCTCCTCCCACAGTGGCGGCTGGGTGCCCCTCTGCCAGCCGAGACAGCCCCCACACACCCCAACCCTAATGACTGTTCTCTCTACCTCTCCCCCGATCATCCCCCAATTCGTCCTCTCTGCATGTGCCTCAGAGTGCACACCAACTACAAATAGCCCTGGACTCGAGCTCCGTCACAACCAGTGAACTGAGTAACACCATCGACTTATTGGTAAGAGTCCAGTGGAGTCCCCTGATTCCACGCTGCCAATCCTGGGCTCCAGTTTCCCCTTGGGGCTGCTGTGGGTGAGTTGAAGGACACTATGGAGAGCCAGCACTGGATGCAGAGCTCAGAGGCCAAATGCCCGCCCTGCCCTTACCTGGCTGTGGCCTTGGCCAAGTCCTAGGTGGGAGACTGGGTACTTGTACTGTGACAGTACAGAAGACTAGCTTTAGTATGTTACCATTTGTGTATAGAGGAAACGTGTGTGTGTGTGTCTGTGTGTGTGTGTGTGTGTGTGTACTATGATAATACACATAAAACATGTCTGCAAGGATTTGTAAAACACTCAGGAGAGAGCACAGGTGGCTGGGAGATACTTCCCTTCTGTACTTTCTGAGTTTTGGACTATGCGAATGTATCAGCCTTTCAAAAAGTGAGCAGAAGATTAATTTCTCCCTTCCTGTCTGTGCCCCCACCCCCAGCAGGAAAAAAAATGGACTTAGAGGATCAGATGGACCTGGGTGTTCAAATCCCAGCTCTGTCTAAGTGACCTTAGGCAACCACTTAACCTCTAATACTCCATGTTTTCCATCTACCCAATAGAGGTAATGGTAGCAACTGCTTCACATGGTGGCTGTGAGGTTAAATGGGATTGTTACCACACTACCTGGTGA